CAGGGGAACATGCAGCTAGAAAGTGGGCGGAGCCACAGGGGAACATGCAGCTAGAAATGGGGCGGAGCCACAGGGGAACATGCAGCTAGAAAGGGGGCGGAGCCACAGGGGAACGCATTAAGCTAGAAAGGGGGCGGAGCCATAGCAGACACTGGCAAATGCCAGGCTAACAGGAAGCAGCTGGTGATGCCTTCATGCTTCGTCAGTAAAACTCAGCGACTCTCCTGTTTCTTCAATGAACAGATTGATGAAGGTGGTTGTCATGGTTACAGAGGAAGAGGGTTGTCTGTAAGTAAAATCTGTTTCTCAGTAGCAGCTGAAACCTTTAAATGCATCAGCAGTGATAAGGCACAACATTATGACCAGAGGCTTTCCATCATGGCTGCCGTTAGCGAGGAGCAGCAAAATGTTTCTACCTGGAGATCAGAGCTGATAAAAACTGAAATATGATTTGACTCAAGTAAACGGAGAAATACTGTAGGAAATGACTCAAATAGGAGTAAATAAATGTGAACAAAAAGGCAACTGAAGTACAGACAGAAATGCTTCTGGTATTATAAACATTAAAATGAAGGATGGATGGATGTTCTGGCAGCTGAAGGTGGTCATAATGTTCTGCCTGATCTTTAAGTTCACATTCAAACTGTTTTTCTTTATTTAGAGCTTTTTCATGGCAGCGTTGTGTTTCTGGCTCCGGAGAGCAGCAGCTGCTAAGCTGCATGTTAGCCGCTCTAAAGTGTTCACTTGTAAACACTTTCACAGCAAAATGTTTTACTGGTTTAACTGGTTTTACTGGGATCTAATGGTGGAAATGAAGGAAAATGACTTTTAAAATAAACATGCTTCTTTGATGTTCTGATTCATGGAAGCTGAAAACGGATTCAAGCCACACGTTTCAGAGTTTTAACAATGAAAAACATGTTTCATTTCCCTCCGTTGAGCTGGGAGGAACTGGGTGGAGCTGGGAGGAACTGGATGGAGCTGGGAGGAACTGGGTGGAGCTGGGAGGAACTGGGTGGAGCTGGGAGGAACTGGATGGAGCTGGGAGGAACTGGATGGAGGGAGGAACTGGGTGGAGCTGGGAGGAACTGGGTGGAGCTGGGAGGAACTGGATGGAGCTGGGAGGAACTGGATGGAGCTGGGAGGAACTGGGTGGAGCTGGGAGGAACTGGGTGGAGCTGGGAGGAACTGGGTGGAGCTGGGAGGAACTGGAAGGAGCTGGGAGGAGCTGGGTGGAGCTGGGAGGAACTGGGAGGAACTGGGTGGAGCTGGGAGGAACTGGGAGGAACTGGGTGGAGCTGGGAGGAACTGGGAGGAGCTGGGTGGAGCTGGGAGGAACTGGGTGGAGCTGGGAGGAACTGGGAGGAGCTGGGAGGAGCTGGGAGGAACTGGGTGGAGCTGGGAGGAACTGGGAGGAACTGGGAGGAACTGGGAGGAACTGGGAGGAGCTGGGAGGAGCTGGGAGGAGCTGGGTGGAGCTGGGAGGAACTGGGTGGAGCGTTTCCTTTGTGAGCCGTTAGCATTTCAGCTAGCATTGACTTCTGAACCCAGTTCCAGTGAAGAAGGAACGTCCTGAAACCAGAAAGCTGGAAAATCCTGACCGCCTGTCTCAGAGGCGCAGGGCTACAGCGGGGCCTTGTGAAACAAAACATAAAACTGAGACGTTTTTATTTTGTATTTTCACATGCAAACTAACAAACCAGACAGTGATTAATCTGATCGATTGACCCGGTTCTACAGAACGACCTGACAGGACTGGAACTGGGTCCAATGAGGACACATCAGGACCAGAGCCTGACACTGATGACCTCTGACCTCTTCCTCCCTGCAGATGAGCTTCTCAGAGGAAGTGGGCGTGGCCTTCCGTCCGCGGCGCCTTAGTAGCGGCAGCAGCGCGGAGCACAGCAGCAGCGGCGGCGAGGACGCCCCCTCGCCTTCGTCCTCCTCTGGGTCGGAGCCCATCCCCCCCCCTCCCGACCAGAGCCCCCCGCCCCCGCCGCCTCTCCAGGCGCTGATCCCGCCCCCCGTCCAGTTCACCGACCCGCTGCCGCCGGCGCGGTTCTCCCCGGAGCGCGCCCCCCGCGGCCGCGCCCCCTTCCAGCCGCAGCACCCCATCATCCCCCCGCCGCCGCCGCCCCGCACGCTGCTGGCTGCGCGCTCGCCGCTGCTGAAGCCCACCAGGGAGGAGGTGGAGAAAGCCCGGCAGCGGTTCCGCTCCTCGTCCAGCCGCTTCTCGCAGGGCGCCGCCGCGACCTGCTGCACGCTGCGCGCCGCCCCCCCCGCAGCACCCACCTCCCCCGCCAGCACAGCCAGCCGCAGCCCGCCCCTAGCGCCTCCCCCCGGCCGCTCCGGCCCAGCCAGCTGGTGCTGCAGCGCCACCATCAACTGCATCACCAGCACAGCTACCAGGGCCCGCTGCCCCCCTCCCTGCAGAACCAGAACCAGAACCAAAACTCCTCCCTCCCCACTCACACCGGCAGCTTCGACGCCCCCCCACCGGAGCCGCAGTCCCAGCAGGTGAGGCTGCAGGTCGCTCTCTTCCGAAGGAGTCGCTTTATTCATGATCTGTGTTGGTCTTAGGCTCCGCCTCCTCCGCCCCCTCCGCCCTGTGACCCCCCCCCGCTCCCGGCGGGCCAGCAGTCCGACGCCAACCACATGAGCGTGAAGCGTCTGCGCTGGGAGCAGGTGGAGAACTCAGAGGGAACCATCTGGGGTCAGGTGAGTTCTGGAACCAGCTAACAACGAGCTAACAAGCTAACTGGTGAGTCACCAGTTGTGACTGGAACCAGTCTGTTTGCTTTCAGCTCAGAGAAGACTCGGACTATGATAAGCTCAGCGACATGGTGAAGTACTTGGACCTGGACCTGCACTTTGGGACGCAGCGCCGACCCCGTGAGTGATTCTGCCTTTTCAAAATAAAGCGTCGCATGGTGACTTCCTGTCAGTAATCACCTCCTGTCATTTGTTGTCATTATGCTGATCTGCATCTCGGCTTCCTGAGGACGTTTGTCGCGCTGCTCCGCCCGTTCTCCATAAGGCACCATTAGCCTCAGACTGTCATGGCCGCCGTCAGCTGCTGAGCTCTGCTCAGGTTTTCACAACCTTCTTTATTTCATTTTCAGATGATCGACCAAAACAAAGCAGGCATTATTTTGTGAGGCAAAAACTGAAGAATTTCTAGTTTTTAAATGCTGTCTCTGTTTTCCACTCAGCGTTGGTCTGTAGTTTGTTGACCGGCATCATGTTGGAAAGGTCAAAGGGTATGAAAACCTCAGCAGGGGGCTTCATTCTTCAGGCTCTGCCAGCGACAGAGGAGCCATCTCTGTCATAGCAGAGCTGCGTTGATGCTAGCTGAGCTGTTCGGACCTCCTGGTGCCTGGAGAACCAGCATTGACTCTCTGTCTGTTAAAATGGCCAGTTTCTCCTACAGAACCAGCCTTCCTGCCAGAGAACCTGAAGAAGAAAGACGTGGTGGAGATCCTGTCCCACAAGAAGGCCTACAACGCCTGTAAGAGCCTCAGCATGCAGACCAACCATGACTGAAACCTCCACAGAGAGAAGCTAATAAAACCAACTGTCCTCACTCTGTTCAGTCAAAACCCAGTAACTTAACAGAACCAACTAACCTTCGCTAACCACCAGCAGGGTTAGCATTAGCGTTAGCATAGAGCTGTACGGTACTGCAAACAATCAGCAAACACACTAATGATGCGAACTCTAGAAGACAAATTCAGAAAAAGCTGCAAGTAGCAAAAACAGCAAATATAAAAATGCTGCAAACTGGCTCCACCAGCTGGAGGCCTCCAGGCCACTAGGGGGAGTCGACCTGCGAACCAGACGGTCCAGACTCAGTAAGACAGGATGTCCACTTCCTGTCTGCTCAAACATCCTTTCACAGCATTAAACAACATTAGGATATTTACCGAGGTAGCATTATGTGCTCCAGACTCCCCCTAGTGGCCTGGAGGACCATCAGGTGAGTTGCAGCGTTTTTCTGTTGCTTTTGATTGATGCAAAATTGGCATCATTTTGTGTTTTATAAACTCAATATTTAGATATCAAGCATAAATATTTTTTAACTTTGTATTTAGTTGGTTAGCTAAATGTTTAACTTGCTACATAAATATTCAGCTTCAAATTAAATATTTAGCTACTAACTAAATATGTAGTTTGAATTTGTGACATTTATGTCAATAAATAATCCTGTAATTATAAACATCAACACATAATCTGTCACATCCACATTAAACTAATTAATATTCAACACAGACGTAGAACTTTGCGCAGACTGACGGCTGAAGGCGTCAGCAGCTTTTTGCAGGAAGTTACTGATGAACTAATGGACCTCAGCAGCCAATCAGGAAGCAGCAGGTTTGACCTTTGTGCTGACCCTGCAGCCATCCTCATGGCCCACCTGAAGCTGTCTCCTGACGAGCTGCGCCAGGTTCTGTTGGATCTGAGCACGGACCGGCTGGAACCGGCCCACATCAAGCAGCTGCTGCTCTACGCGCCCGACCAGGACGAGGTCCAGCAGTACCAGCGCTTCCAGCAGGACCCGGCCAAACTCAGCGAGCCGGACCAGTTCATCTTCCAGGTACCGCGCCGACGGCCCGCCGGGCCCACCGGGCCCACCGGGCCCGGCCAGAACCCACCCTCACACTGACCGCCGGCCCGTTTCAGATGCTGACGGTTCCGGACTACAAGACCCGGCTGCGCAGCCTCCTGTTCAAAGCCACGCTGCAGGAGCGGGCCGAGGAGATGAAGGCGGCCTTTGACTATATCCACAAGGCGTCGCTGGAGCTGAAGAGCAGCAGGAAGCTGGCCAAGATACTGGAGGTGGGTCGGGACCGGACGGGTCTGCCGGTTCTGATTGGTTCTGATTGGTTCTGGTTGGTTCTGGTTGGTTCTGGTTGGTTCTGATTGGTTCTGATTGCGGCCCGCAGTTTGTCCTGGCGATGGGGAACTACCTGAACAACGGTCAGCCCAAGAGCCACCGAACGACGAGCTTCAAGATCAACTTCCTGACGGAGGTCAGAGCGTAACCATAGCAACAGTTTGGCTGGCCCATCAGAGAGATGACATCATTAACTCCACATTAAATATTCAGATTTCTGACTAAATATTTAGTTTGAAACTGAGACGTTTATGGACGAATGAAGATCCAAGTTATTCTAATAACTATTTCACAGTTGAGCACGACGAAGACGGTGGATGGAAAATCCACGTTCCTTCACATCCTGGCCAAGTCGCTGAGTCAGCACTTCCCCGAGCTGCTGAGCTTCCCCAGAGAGCTGCCCACGGTTCCTCTGGCCGCTAAAGGTACGCCGCCACTTCCTGCAGGTCGGTACCTCCCCGTGCGGCCGCTCAGTAGCGCCCCCTGTCTCTGTTCTGCTCCAGTCAACCAGAGGGCCGTCACCTCGGAGCTGAGCGAGCTCCACGCCGCGGCGCAGGACATCAGGACGGCCTGCCAGACGCTGCCGGCCGACGACCGCTTCGCCTCCGTTATGAGTGTACGGAAAACATATTTACCATAAAACGTTTCAGGATCATTCACACGTTCACCCATTACCAGCAAGGACAAGATCATTCATTCATTCATTCATTCATTCATTTCACTTCATTCATTCATTCATTCATTTCACTTCATTCATTCATTCATTTCACTTCATTCATTCATTCATTCATTTCACTTCATTCATTCATTTCACTTCATTCATTCATTCATTCATTTCACTTCATTCATTCATTCATTCATTCATTTCACTTCATTCATTCATTCATTCATTCATTTCACTTCATTCATTCATTCATTCATTTCACTTCATTCATTCATTTCACTTCATTCATTCATTCATTCATTCATTCATTTCACTTCATTCATTCATTCATTCATTCATTTCACTTCATTCATTCATTCATTTCATTTCATTCATTCATTCATTTCACTTCATTCATTCATTCATTTCATTCATTCATTCATTCATTCATTCATTCATTCATTCATTCATTCATTCGTTTTAGTTTTAAGATAAAGATTTAGCTATAAACTAAATCTTCGGTTTGAAGCCAAATCTTTATCTTCAACCCAATTTTTATTTACTCGCTGAACGGCGTCTGGTTTTGGTTCCGGGCCGGCCCAGCAGACCCGGACAGCAGCTGAAGTGTGTCTTCCTTCCACAGAGTTTTCTGGAGAACAGCCACCCGGCCCTGCAGTCCCTGGAGTCGCTCCAGTCCCGGGCCATGGCCGAGTTCTCCCAGGTGGCGTCGTACTTCGGCGAGGACGGCCGCTCCACCAGCACCGACTCTTTTTTCGGCATCTTTGCGGAGTTCATGTCCAAGTTTGAGGTGAGCAGCTTCCGGAACCGGCCGGGTCGAATTGGACCCGGCTCAGGCGGGAAGCGTCTCGTTTCCACCGCTTCAGCGAAACTTTGACAGATTTGCCTCAGAAGGAGCGGCTGCAGCGGAGAAACGATCGGGTCTGATGATGTGAAGTAGCCGGATAAAGGTTCTGGTTCTGGTTCTGTCTTTCAGAGAGCGCTAAGTGAGACCCAGAGTCCTGAGAACCCCCGCAGCCCGCGCCTGTCCTCCCCCCCGGCCTGGTAGGAGCCGCCGGGCCGACCGCGGCGCCAAGACTGGACCGGGCCGACCGCGGCGCCAAGACCGGACCGGGCCGACCGCGGCGCCAAGACCGGACCGGGCCGACCATGGCGCCAAGACCGGACCGGGCCGACCGCGGCGCCAAGACCGGACCGGATCAGGCCTTACATTAGGTGCTGAAACAGACGGAACTTTGCCATCTCTGTATGAAGCAGAATATTGATTGTTGTTCTCAATAATAATATTTATAAAAAATATAAATATTATTATTATTGTTGTTATTAATATTATGATATTGTAAATATTAAGTTTTATGTTAATATTCGGTTTGTTCTGTTGCTCCAATAAATTCATGTTTTCACTTCTGGAGCTTATTTTCCATCAGATCAGATTTCAGACCTTCGCAGCCGAAGCATAGACTTCACCAGATAGACTGGACCAGTTTTCTGGAGGAGCTGCGGTCCAGATTAAGTCCAGATTAAATCCAGATTAAGTCCAGATTAAGTCCAGATGATTGTAGATTTAATCCGTGCCGATCAGACGGCGAGTAAAGTGGATATTTATTACGTTAAATTGCTTTTATTTTGTAAAGCCGATAAACGTTTTTCATCCCTTCAGTCTGTGATCCGTTCAGATCCGTTTGGTTTCAGGTTATTGATCATCTTGAGTCCAGATATTTGCCGCTGCCTGCTGGGTTACCTGGTAACCATGGCGACCCGTCCTGCTTGTTGGCTCCGCCCCAAAATCCGTTTATTTTCTTATGAAACTTTTTCTTGTTCTGAGGCTTCATGAGGCGGCATGACATCACTTCCTGTTGGGATGTGCCGCTGGCTCTAGTTCCAGTAAGGTTCTGTTCTGTGCTTCTCAAAGCTTTTCTGCTTTAAATAAACTTCATGTTTTGGATTTTGACTCTTTACATTTATTCTCCGGTTCTGACCCAAAGCGTCAGAACCGGGTCAGTCCTGTGCAGTTGTGGTTTCCAGCAGAACTTTGATTCTTTTCAGAAGAACTTCTAAAGGATTCAGTTCACAGGAATCCATCCGCTGAAGCAAGTTGGTAAATTATGCAGATTTTTTATTGAACATTTAATGTTAATCAATGATCTGTTAGAAATACAAAGATTCAAATAAATTCAAAATAATAAATATTGAACAGTTTTGGTTCAACTAATCAACGATTGAGTTCATTGATTATTTGAATAACTGATTTCAGGCCCAGATAACTCATCCTTTAATAAGCAGTGTTGTAATTTTTCCATATTTTTATGGTAATAAAACATTTCCTGATGGTTCTGATCAGAAACAAGCAGAACGTTTGACCTTCATATACTTTATTTCCTTTGAGAAACTTCAACATTACAGGATTTTTCATATTTCAACTCAGAAAACATGATAAACGTCGGAGCTTCAAGATGCTGCAGTCATAATAAACAAGCCTGAAGGATTCTGGGAAATAAGGCAGCGAGGTTCAGGAGGGCGAGCCGAGCGTCCGACGCCTCTGACCTAAACGCACCGACCCGACCCGGCAGAACCTCCCCCGGCGTCATGGCTGAGGCTTCCTGTCAGCTCAGAGGGGGACGAAGGCAGCATCATCATCAGTTCATCTGTGCAAAACCGGCCACTCGGAACCGGCCCACTCTACATTCACTCTGACCCAGACGGCGCTGAGGAAAGGCAGAAACTGACCAGAACCGGGTTCTGGTCAGGGAGGACAGCTCGTGTCCCTGAAGGCAGAAATGCAGGAAACAGAAGTAAGGCATGGCTGGCGCTGAACTGCAGTGTGTGTGTGTGTGTGTGAGTGTGTGAGTGTGTGTGTGTGTTCTTAAACCAGCTAATAAATACAAACATGGAGGAGAAACTGGTGACAGAACCAGCAGTCACCTTCTTCCCCTGATCTGAATCAGACTCAACCAGAAAGCAGGAAGAAAACTTGTCCCGTCATTTCCACCGACTCCGATTGTCTGCAGCTAAGTCAGAACAACGAGCCGTGTAGAAACACCATGTCTGTCTGTGTGTGTGTGTGTGTGTGTGTGTGTGTGTGTGTGTGTGAGAGAGAGAGAGAGAGAGAGATGTTACACATGAAGCTGCTATGTCGTTTTGAACAGGAACTTTGGCTTAAAGACACTTGTTAGTGTAGTACATGACAGCAGCCAGTAGGGGGCAGTGTGACGCATCGCTCCAGTTGAATCAGTTCAGATTCTGAAGGTTGAGGACGCGACGACAGGCGGGTGGAGGTCTGGGCCCGAGGTCACCGTGGGTCATGGGCCGGTCCTCACAGAGCGGTGCTCTCGGTGTCCAGGTCGCAGGAGGAAGAGGAGCTGGCGGCCGCGGGCTGCTGGTCCACGCTGAGCTCGGCTACGGAAGCCCGACCGGGTCTCTTCAAAGACATCAGCGGCTCTAAACGACACAGAACAGGTGATGATGATGATGATGATGATGAAGAGCTGTGCTCAGATGTTCACCTAACTATTAAACATCAATGGAGGGAAATGTTTAGATTCATTACATAGATTTGAACTCTTTTTATTATTTTTACATATTAATATTCTGGCTGAAACCAGAGTAAAGCTACAACGAGCTGCTCCTGTTTCCGAGCGATCTGATTGGACGCCCGAACTCACTGTTGTGCTAACTAGCTGATAGGCTAGCGTTAGCCGCTACAGGCTAACGCTAATCTTAGCCTCCACTGTCCAGATTCCTAAAGAATCTGAGGAACTCTGGGAATGTGATGAATCATCTCTGATGTTCAGGTCTGGATCACATAACTGTCCAAACATCAAACAAATGCAAAGTTTGAAAACTGACATTTAATCCGACCTCAAGTATCTGTCTGAACCAGTTTGTCCAGAATCCGGCGGCAGACTGACCGGGACTGACTGACCGGGACTGACTGACCGGGACAGAGGGACCGACATGAGCTTCAGCTCTGGATGTTTCCGGGATGCGAACACGGAGCAAATTCTTCCTGCTGCTCTGACAGCTGACCAGCAGGGGGCAGAGTTCAGCTCAGTGGGGAAGCGTTACTAACACATGCTAACTAGCACCAGGCTACATTGCAGACCAGCAGAAGGTTTTCCATCAACAGTGCGAACAGAATGGTTCTCTATTGATCTGGTGACGTCAGGATCCCGATCGTATCTGTGGTCGTAAAATTCACAGATTTCCAAATCAGAAGCAGAAAGTCTTGCTTGGATCAAAGCTTGTGCAAAACCATCAACTTTCATAGGATCAACAAGAACAAAGCAGTTTGTGCTGGTGTGAGTTATTGATTTGATTTCTTTATGTCTGAATTAAAGAAAATCAATACCAAACATCCATCATGAACATCTGTTAGCTCAGTGCAGCAGGACTGACACTAATCCTGCACCTTGACGCCTGTCTGCTACAGCCTGACATTAGCTAAACACATCAACATGCAACGTGTATCTCACATGCAGTAAAGATTTGATTTTAGTAGGAAAGGCTTTTGACTAAACTGTTGCTCCTGTTAGCCTCTCTGTTAGCGCTGAGTCCAGCGCATCAGGCTGAGGCACAAAGCAAACATTAGACAACAAACCACAGGAATCAGCCACTGATTTCACAAGTGACCTAGAAAACCATGAAGCCCGACTGATGCAGCCTGGCAGGAACGATGAGCATCAGAGATCAGGAACGATACGCATCAGAGATCAGGAACGATAAGCATCAGAGATCAGGAACGATAAGCATCAGAGATCAGGAACGATGAGCATCAGAGATCAGGAACGATACGCATCAGAGATCAGGAACGATAAGCATCAGAGATCAGGAACGATACGCATCAGAGATCAGGAACGATACGCATCAGAGATCAGGAACGATACGCATCAGAGATCAGGAACGATACGCATCAGAGATCAGGAACGATACGCATCAGAGATCAGGAACGATAAGAATCAGCGATCAGGAACGATACGCATCAGAGATCAGGAACGATACGCATCAGAGATCAGGAACGATGAGCATCAGAGATCAGGAACGATACGCATCAGAGATCAGGAACGATGAGCATCAGAGATCAGGAACGATACGCATCAGAGATCAGGAACGATACGCATCAGAGATCAGGAACGATAAGCATCAGAGATCCGGAACGATACGCATCAGAGATCAGGAACGATACGCATCAGAGATCAGGAACGATACGCATCAGAGATCAGGAACGATACGCATCAGAGATCAGGAACGATACGCATCAGAGATCAGGAACGATAAGCATCAGAGATCAGGAACGATGAGCATCAGAGATCAGGAACGATACGCATCAGAGATCAGGAACGATAAGCATCAGAGATCAGGAACGATAAGCATCAGAGATCAGGAACGATATGCATCAGAGATCAGGAACGATATGCATCAGAGATCAGGAACGATGAGCATCAGAGATCAGGAACGATACGCATCAGAGATCAGGAACGATACGCATCAGAGATCAGGAACGATAAACATCAGAGATCAGGAACGATGAGCATCAGAGATCAGGAACGATGAGCATCAGAGATCAGGAACGATACGCATCAGAGATCAGGAACGATACGCATCAGAGATCAGGAACGATGAGCATCAGAGATCAGGAACGATGAGCATCAGAGATCAGGAACGATGAGCATCAGAGATCAGGAACGATAAGCATCAGAGATCAGGAACGATACGCATCAGAGATCAGGAACGATACGCATCAGAGATCAGGAACGATACGCATCAGAGATCAGGAACGATACGCATCAGAGATCAGGAACGATACGCATCAGAGATCAGGAACGATACGCATCAGAGATCAGGAACGATATGCATCAGAGATCAGGAACGATGAGCATCAGAGATCAGGAACGATACGCATCAGAGATCAGGAACGATACGCATCAGAGATCAGGAACGATACGCATCAGAGATCAGGAACGATAAGCATCAGAGATCAGGAACGATGAGCATCAGAGATCAGGAACGATGAGCATCAGAGATCAGGAACGATAAGCATCAGAGATCAGGAACGATACGCATCAGAGATCAGGAACGATACGCATCAGAGATCAGGAACGATACGCATCAGAGATCAGGAACGAAGAGCATCAGAGATCAGGAACGATACGCATCAGAGATCAGGAACGATGAGCATCAGAGATCAGGAACGATACGCATCAGAGATCAGGAACGATACGCATCAGAGATCAGGAACGATACGCATCAGAGATCAGGAACGATACGCATCAGAGATCAGGAACGATACGCATCAGAGATCAGGAACGATAAGCATCAGAGATCAGGAACGATGAGCATCAGAGATCAGGAACGATACGCATCAGAGATCAGGAACGATAAGCATCAGAGATCAGGAACGATAAGCATCAGAGATCAGGAACGATGAGCATCAGAGATCAGGAACGATACGCATCAGAGATCAGGACGATACGCATCAGAGATCAGGAACGATAAGCATCAGAGATCAGGAACGATGAGCATCAGAGATCAGGAACGATGAGCATCAGAGATCAGGAACGATGAGCATCAGAGATCAGGAACGATGAGCATCAGAGATCAGGAACGATACGCATCAGAGATCAGGAACGATACGCATCAGAGATCAGGAACGATACGCATCAGAGATCAGGAACGATGAGCATCAGAGATCAGGAACGATACGCATCAGAGATCAGGAACGATGAGCATCAGAGATCAGGAACGATACGCATCAGAGATCAGGAACGATACGCATCAGAGATCAGGAACGATACGCATCAGAGATCAGGAACGATACGCATCAGAGATCAGGAACGATACGCATCAGAGATCAGGAACGATGAGCATCAGAGATCAGGAACGATGAGCATCAGAGATCAGGAACGATACGCATCAGAGATCAGGAACGATACGCATCAGAGATCAGGA